GCTCATCGACACCCTGACATTGACCATCAGCCCACCATCAGCTTGTTGTGCCTCAGCGTTAAGCTGGTTGGCTGGGACTGTTGCTTCAGGACACTTCAGGAGAATGAATGCTTTGTGCAACAAAGACTTGAACCCACAACTTTAAAAAGACACCAACATATACAAACATTGGATGCACTAACCACAAACAAGAATCAAAATGAATCCATAGATACTACAAATGCAAAGAAATGTAAAAATATGCAGGAAAAGACAATACCCTTGAATGAGGATGAAGTGTATTCAAGCCAAATGCTTTAAAGAAGTACAGTGACCATGCAACATGCAATTTTAATCTTTGCATATTATCATACATGTGTTCTGCGTGGTGCTGCAGGCACTTTGGGACTCCATAATGACTCACAAAAGGACATTGCTGTGCTTGAGCAGCCTCTGGGCTGGCTGGAGTGGTGTGATGGCTTAAGTACAGTTTGGGAATGTCAGCGGGCTCCCTGGTGTCCACTCCGCTCCACCCTGACCCCCATCTCTTCCAGCTCCCATCACACAATGACAGGCTTTGTGACACGAGGGAAAAAGCAGCACCAGCCTTCCATAGCCTCTGCCATCACAGCCACTATTGTACACAGGCTTTTTCTCAGGATATCCAACACCCTGGAAAATGGGGGATCCTGTTGCGCATCCCACTCTCCTCACCCAGGGAGCCAAAACAAGGGTGGAAAAGCCTTTTAGGAGCTTTTCAGAGAGGCTGATCACCTGATACAGCAGCACTCTGCACCTCTCAGACAGGACAGAGGCCCTTGTCATGGAGGCTCCACATCTTAGTGCTCACTGGGCTGCTGTGTTCCTGCCAGCCCGAGCAGCATAATGCACAGTGTGCCCATGGCAGGCCTCTTCCCAGCCATTTCCCCACCGAGCGCTCTGAAAGAACTCCACTCACTAATCACAGCACTGCGGCGGGAGGCTCGTCACCACTTTAAAACCAGGGTAGACATCCCTTGGAGGAAGAGGTCAGCCAAAACCCAGAACTCTCATCCACTAGGCTGGATGATGGTAAACACTAAGGCTGTCAGGCATAGACAGCAGAGCAAGCAACAGAAATCAGCTTTAAGACCCGGAAAAGTATTAAAAAAAAGGTGGACAAAGCAGTGAATAAACATCTCAAACTGCACTCCTCTCAAAACACAAAGCTTGATATTAATTCAAAGATACTAAACGAACAGTTAAAAAAAGCCAAAAAAGGCCAAGTTGATGTTGGAGTAGAAGGAGATAGAAGTAATGTAATGTCTCCCGGAGGATAACAAGATGATGCGCATTCCAACATTAGAAAAATAAGAGAAAAGGGTACATTTAAAAATGGTAAGGAGAATGGGAGAGCGGGAGACTCCATAAAAACCACAAACATGTGAGGCCGTCCCGGACGGACAGCTATGACAGGAGCGAGTTCATTCCTAAAGGCTCGCCAATGGAGCCCTCAGCCACAACACAGCTTCTAATGTGTCTCTCGGTAGGCCAATACGGAAGTTTGCTCCACCATGGTTTGCTGGCGGCAGCTTCACTATTTACTCCACAGTGAGGTTTTTTTTAATGTGGCTTTGGATAAATGCTGAAAACATCAGCATCTGTACTCAACTGCAGCCTTACAATGCTTTGAAGGCAAGTGGGAAATAACACATTGATAAAAATTTAATATCAGTATCAGTAATATCAGCTGAATTGAGCATGAGTACTTGCACTATTCAGACTATTAGACCATTAAGTCAAAGGACTGGACGTGACAAAAGCCACAACAGTTTACAGACTTCACATTTTAGCTACATTTAAAAATATGTATATGTTTTTCTTCTGTTTTTGTTCCCTAAAATGAATGCCTTTGACTATCTGTGCAAAGTCTGTCACTGTCTGTGCACTTCCCTAAATTCTGAATTTCAAACATACCTCGGACAAAGCCAATCACTGTGTAATACAAGAAACGTATAGAGGGGGAACAGACTTCAACATTACACCAGCAAAGAAACCTCCAGCACATAACACACTTGTCACAACAGAGAGCAGCCTTGGCATTGGCATAGTCAAAGCTTTGACAGCAAACATGGCAGACTGTGCAGTTTTTGGATGTAAACCGGATCCTGGAGCTCCCGTCCACTATTTACCAAAAGCCCCATCATAACAGACAGTATTGAATGTTTCACAACCATTAAGGCTGCAACTGCCAGTTAACCTACAAGCTAACAAACAACATAAACAAATAAGTGATGCTAACCCCACTTACCATTCTGATATGTCTGCTAGTTGCTGATTTTGGTACACAACAGACTCATCAATCAGACCCATATGAGTCTGGGTCTGACTGCTCAAACAATGCTCAAACACGTATGGCTGAATCTCTCTGCTATTTCCTTTAACGTTAACACTAGCCATCTACTTCTTCACCGGCCAACCTAGCGCAAGTAGCAGTGGAGAAAACGGAAAGCCAAATCTACCGCAAGCAGTGGTGGTGGACGGGCGGAGGCCAGATCTAGTATTTCTAAACGACGGAGAAGGAGTAAATCTGCCTCCAATCCCTTTTGAAAGTTTTTATGAGGTAAAAACCATGTTAAAAAAATATTAGTATAAGTATTTTAAACGTGTCCAGGCGGGAACTTTAAGGTTCCATAAATTTAGCATTGCACTGTTATTGAGTTGTGGGGCTCACAAGAGACAGATTTAGCAGAGACCGAGACCGACCGATATCCTGAGTTTTAGAGCCTAGTAAGGGTCAAGCTCCAAAAACACAGAATCCTACATTTCCCATAAAGCAACTCAACTCTTTTGTTAAACCCTCTCTGCCTTACAGTCATGCATATTAAAGTTAAGCCCCAAGTTTGCAACTCAGACTTCCTGTTGAATTTGAAGGCTTATTCAAAATAACCCTGGTGACATCACCTTCATCAGACTTTAAAATGCACCCTCAAGAACCACAGAATATATATAACACAACTGTTTTCACAGGCTGAGTGATAGCCTTCGTGACAAGTATACTGATCTTCATGTGCAACATCCGTGTAGCTCTCCTTTAAAAGCTGAAAAACTAACAACTGGAATTTAAATTGTTTATTTATCATTATTTTTTTGCCCAAAGGGCTTTGTGGCACAGAAAAGCAAATTTACTTGCAAGTGCAAGGATTTGACACTAGACGACTTTATCATCTCAAGTCTCCAGCTTAAAGTCTGCCTGAGGCGTCCGCCGTCCAAACGAGCATCACATATCACACTCATGTCAGTTGAATCAGCCAAACGAAAGCGAGCCAGTCTGAGAGCTGATTCATGTCTGCACACACAGACATCTTGCACACCCTCCCTGCTCTAAAACAACTTGGAAGGAGACAATATGCCATGTGGCTTTGCAGTCACATCAAATTAGTTATTAGGAGGGATGCTGTCTTGCATTCCTAAAGACTATATTTTGCTGGGACCAGATTTCATGGCGGTCATGACTGACAGAAGCTTTTTATTTCAATAAAGACTGGTTAAAATGTTCAGAAAAAGTAATGATGGCATCCTCAAAAGCACCACTTGGACCCCAGTTACATCATGGCTAAACCGGTTCATCTTTCTCACAGTGTGAAAGAGATCAAAACTACTCTGACGTACGCCATCAGTCTCAAAAGGCTGGACACCACTGTGAGTGACAGTGCATCTGAATCCCATTTAACATGTAAACAACACAAAGAATCCCAAACTCGAAGAGAAATTTTAAAATGGACCTTCTCAGCCAGCGGCCGCTTAGAAGGAGCGCTCCAATGTTTTCAAGTTCAAACCTCTGCATATTTATCTAACTTTATGTAATGTCCAGCGCTATAAAAATGGCTGGAATTCCTCACGCCAATACAAAAGGTCTTGTATGTTTTTTCCTGCTCTGTCAACTCACATGTTGTATCAGTGGGACCCATGCTTGAGACTAAGCATGTAAGCATAGCTGAAATAGCTGATGATGAACTTTCCCACAACATGTTCTCTCTTTAAATCACTGAAGTCTTTCCAGACGCCCGAGTCCCCCTTCTTGGATTTGTTGCTGGATGGTGAATAAGCAGAGCATAGTTTAGCTGCAGTCTCATGATAACCCCCAGTCTGTATTTTACCTCTTACGGAGACTAATGAGTCGCCATTAAGACAACTAAAGGTTAGGGCCATTGTTTTGACGGAAAGTATTCATTTTTTTTCTTTGAAGCAGGCTCTGAATGAAACAGCTCCAGACTGCTGTTCAGCTTAATGTCAGATATTTTCAAAGACTGACCTTTGTAGCTTTTACACTCCCTGCTATAAAAATGTCAAACCCCCTCTCTATCCTGCCTTTAATGTGAAGTCCACATACAGCACAGTGGAGTCTGCAGCCCTTTTGTAGGGCATCTTCTGTGGCATCAGAGACTAACAATTCAAGAGGAAAGGTTGTGAATTCAAAACATGTTATTCTTGCAGACTGGGACAGCGCAGTCAAAATAAACACAGGTCTACAGTCGAGAGAAAAGAAACCTTCAGCTGTACTGACTGCAGCCTAACCCTGCAGCTACAGATGAATGACAGATTGGCATTGTGTGGGCATCTAAACATTTGTATGTATCTTTCTGATATTATTGTACTCCTCCTAGATCCAAACCAATATATGTGCCATGATACTTTCTGTAGGAAATCATCCTATAATCATCTCATCTACAGTATGAAGTAGCAAACTTATTTTTGCAGCAGTGATGGCACAAAGTCTGGAACACAATAAACTTGTCTCTCTTGTTTTTGGTTGGAGGAGACCGTAATTTCATGCTCACTAAGAACCAATTGTCCCCATCTAATTAAAGACATTTTACAGCTGGATTTCAGCTGCTTTTGTTTAGCGGGGTGGACAGTTATTGACTAAACAAATGGTGGACGACTCTTGATGGCATGAATCAGAACTTGCTTCCAAAGCAGCACTTACAAGAGGAATGAAAAGAGGATGTGGTCACTTTAAGCAAACAACTGAAACCAACCTGTGACAGTGGCCTGGACATCCTGTGACTCCTGTCCTCTGGAGACCATGGACGCAGTTGGACACTGTAACATGAAGGCAACATAGAGTCAGACACACATATGTATAATTTTGGGATAGGCTATATATACCATGAGACAGACAAATATGTCAACCCTCTGAGATTTTTTTAAAATCATGTTTGTGGTACAGTGGTTATCCTTTAAATATCTCTGGTAGACCATTTTGCAGATCAATAAGCAGGACAGACTAAATGAAATACTGGGATTTATATGACGTAAGTACTAAGTATTTTGCTAAACTAGCCAAAAAACAGACATTCCTGTCTGGTTATTTCATCTATCAATAATGCTGACACACATTCAACAACGTCACCCAGATGTGCCGATCACCAGGATGATAACTGTTTAGGTGCTTACAATGAAAGGTTTATTTTTTTATTATTCTATGTATCTTTTATTTTCAGTTTCATAGTATAAGAAATGCAACTCATATATAGCCTTTTTTGACCTGCTGCCTTTTGGGAAACTGCTGAGTGTTTTTACAGTGTAAAGCAGAAGTATGTAGAATCTTCCTTATATTTTTGATGAAAACAGTTCAGAGTTATCGGTGGCAAAATGTTTTCTCTGTCCCCAGGAACAGGATTTTGTCTCTCTTTAATACTTGCAATACTGTCTGTTCAAAATAAATAAAAAATAAATGTATCCTTACGAAAATGGGAATTTTTTTTTTTCATCTGTACCAAATCGGTAAGGAACTGTGACTTGTGTACCATTACACCACTAATTGACATTGTGACATTAAATTACATATACAGTAATACAGGATTTTATTCATATTCACAGATTTTAACAAACATATCACAGTACTGCAGGTTTTCCATGGGAATCTGTACAACTTCCAATTTGATTTAACAGTATAAACTTGATTATTTTAAAGAATCATAATATGCTGCACAGTTTTACTGAAAATTATAATTCTGTGTCAAAATGGTTGATTAAGATAGAAGAATATAAAAATACTAACAATTCTAATTGCATTAATGACAAGATGGAAATATGATGTATGCAGGGCAGGAAGCTTCATTGGAGTTTTAACTGTGACCTTCTAAAGGTTGTCCTGGAGAGTCAACAAATGGCCATGCAGCGAGAGATCGTGGTGAACGTTCCACATTCTGCCTTTTGTTGCACTGAATGCAACGGTGGAATGTGATATCCTGTGCATATCCTTTGTTACTACAGTACAATCCTATGGCTCCACTTTCTGTCTGTTATTCCCATGTCTATTGACTCTGGGCCTGTTGTGGAGTCAAGAGAGCACTTGTTTCAACCTTTTGTCCAGATATAAGCCTATTTAAGCAGTGAATGGGCGGGTTTCTAAAAAAAAAAAAAAACGTCTGCAAAGTCGAGCTCTACAATGTTCTTAGACTTAATCTTAAACCCTGTTCACACTGAAAGAATTTCCTTTTCTATCTACTCTTTCAAGCTGATTGTCTAAAGCGTAATTTAGAAGTAACCAGATCACATAGTGTGAGTTCAAACAGTATAATCCATTGCTTTTGTTGCACGATTGGTAAGCTCAGTAACAATGCAGGAGTGGACAAGCTAGCTGAGGGTTCAGTATCTGTCCAACAACTCCAAATGCTACAATCAAGACAGTATTTAAGTTTCACTAATGCTTTTTTTAATGTTTTTTTAAATGTAAATTCCAACCTTTGTGGTCCAGGGTGGACTCTTTATTAGAGGAGGTGCATCAAAAACCTCCCCGTCATCAAATATGCTTTGCAGCCAATTAGCATGACTGATTTTTATCAGAAATGCAAGGACATCCAAATTATCTGCATGCTTGAACACTGCAATGCTGATTTCAACTACAGCAGGTCGAGCGAGTTACCCCTTGTTGGTGGTCGCTGTCAGTCTGTCCCTCTTCCCGTCGGGGCTGGCAGGAGGATCTGGTGAATAAGGTCCAGGGGACAGCGACGCAGGGCTGGAGATGGTGTACTCTCTGTAGTTCTGATTCTCATCTCGACTCACTATTACTGCCTCCTGCAAAACATCACACCACAGTAACGTTACTGCATTAGTATCTGCTGAAAGTAACTTGATCTGCACTACTGCATTTTTGCCATACAAGCGAAAGGCTAAAGTGAAGAGTATAAAGTAAACCTGTGAGGATGACAGCAAACACAAAACCACAGAAGAAAAATGTTGTATCCTTAAACATGTCTACAGATTTTTTACTCAGTATCACCATGTTATGTAGGTGATGCTTTGGGAATCATTGTGAACTCAATAAAACACAGGAACAAGTACTAAATCACTACAATGACTTGTTTTGCTTCCATCTTGAGGACACTGAAATAAGCAGATATGTAATAAACAGATGTGTGATGCATGCATTGGGAGAAATGAAGCAGCATACCCTGTGTAGTCAAAACAACACATTGTCCAAATAAAATAGACACTTGTGAGCAATGTTGTGGATCAAACAGATATGGAGAATAGTCTCCTGGACTTCAATTTGCCATTTCATGTCCAGTAATCAAGACAAACTGTGGAGAGATTAAAGCACTGACCTGGAAGCGTCCGGTGAGCTGCTCAGGGGTGCTAATGCCATTAGTCTGTCCAGGACTGGGAGGTTCAGGTCTTAAAAGACAGAAAACACAGAGATCAACTGACTGTCAACACTGATAAAATCTGACAACCCAAATGTTCATTCTCTGTCTATGCAGCATGTGGGATAAAGTCTGATCTAATCACTGCTGAATTTAAAAACGGAAAAAAAATCAAGTAAGGCAGTACAGAAGTTCATGTTAAATAAATAAGCAAGGTATTTAAAACTGGTCTTAACGGCATTCTGGACAAGCAGCTGTACTCGAAAGTACGTAATATCATGTTCAAGAACTCGCAAGAAAAATACAGAGTAAAGAAAAAAAATTCTAAGGGTCATAAGTCTAAGTGAACTTCATTCGAAGCACAAACAAAAACATAATTTTTGACATCCCTTTTGCTAAATGTCCTGGCAGGCATCCATCAGTATGTTCCCATGATTCTCGGAGATTACTGCAGAAGACGAGTACTGCAGACTCGGCCCCTCTTTAGGAAATATTCTCCCGATGAATCTCGTCTTTCCAACTAGTCACTTCTGTTTTACTTTCTTAAATAGGAAACACATTCTGTAAGCAATTCCATCATTGAATTTGGAGGGGAAAATATGGGTATATGCGCCAATGCAAACACACAGTGCCCCCCTGGCTGCAGGGCCAGAGGCTGACTGGCTTTTGGTTGAGCCTGGGGTAATGAGGCACACAGGAAGGCCTGGATGCCTGTGGTAAATCACCCAGAAACACACCTCTCATGGCCTGGGCTCCATATACTGTGTACAAGAGAGAGATGGAAAGAAGACAAAAACTGACACAGCATACTGTAAGGCATTTCTTCCTGTCAGAGACATATTAATGTGGAAGGCCTGAAAAACTCATTGCTTTGCGTCAGGAACTGAAAAATGCTCACCTTGTGCTTTAAACTTCCACTTTCTACTGCTCACTGTAGATCAGAGCACGAGAGGAAGTTCTGGTCTTTATACCATGAGGGTTTTTTTTTTTAGTTCAATGATCAGATCGGTGTCTAGTCTATAACCAATGACCTCTGGTTACAGGTGTCCATTACAGAAGAAGAATTTGCTTCTGGTGAAAATACTAACTGTGACTTTACACCACAGAGATGCCATACTGACATAAATCAGTACATGAAACTCTTAGCTGATTCTCGCTGTGCACAGCAGTCATCAAGAGGACCTGGGTTAATCAGCCTGAGGCAGCACCTGAGGCACAGTCTTCAAATATGTGTGTTGTATGAATACCTCTGCAAACATTAAATAAACATTATACTGACCAGAGTTCAAGAGGACGCAAATCCACTAGAAGCAAAAGCTACATACTTTGCGTCAAGCTGTGATGCATATTTGGGATGAGGCAAGCCACTGTTTTATAGGTCTTGGTATTATTGGAAAATTGTTCATGCTAGTGCTGGTATGAGTTTCAGTAATGTTGCTTAAGTGATACTTCTTTTTAGACACAATCATATTTTTCTATAAATTACTGTTTGGTTTTTCAAATTTCATTAGTTTTTAAATGAAACATTAAATAAAACATAAAAAGGATGTTTTTTATGTTAAAGGGTTTTTTGTAGAGCTGTGTCTTTATCTCAGGGTCTATGGCTAGAGGGTGCCCTATGTTGTAAAAAAAAAATATGAACCCCATGTCAAACTTGTGATTATGGATTATATGAAAGGGTTAGGGTTAAAACTGACTTAACTGACTTTCGTAATGAGGTTTGATATCGAGCCCTGCTGCTTTACCAATCATGCAAAACTTAAAATAATGCAGTCAGGTTCATATGGCATTTCTTGTTTCACAGTAGTGTTGTCACGATACTGAAAAAAAAAAATAATATTTGATACCATGTGATACCACAGGGCTTGTGTGAAATGATAAATATGACAAGGCTACAACAGGACAGTGATGACTTTTCTTCTCTTGGTTACTGGCAGAGAACAGCAGAGTGACTAGTAAACAGTAACAATTATAGAGGGTGAGAAAGTGTTGCTGGTACAAGTGTATCAATACTGCAGAAAATGAGTATTGAATGTGATTTAAAAAAAAAAAAAAAAAAAAAAAAAAAATCGATGTCCATCAATACATCAGTATGTTTGCCAACACTATTTCACAGTAAGTACTTTGGATCTTTGGTGATCTAATGAGATAATGATGCGAGCTGCTGGATTCACACACACGCACTCTCACACACATACTGGCTATGAACTGTTTTAACTTGACTGCAGCTGTGTGTTAGACTACTGCCCAAGCAAAGTTAAGTATATCTTTTCTTATCTTACACACAAACACATAGGGAGCAGTACATGCAAGCACACCACAGCATCTCACTATCAAAAGGAAAACTCTGTCCTGCAACAGTATAGCTGTAAAGTAAAGCTATACCCATGAATTGTGAGACAGCAACGGGATCACAGAGTGACAAATGCTTTGGTCAACATGACATCATCTGCAAGGCATCAATGAACAATGAAGTCCAAACAAGTAGCTGTAAACAAAGCCCGGCCAAAACATTTTCGGGGTCAATGATAAGACAGTGATGGTGTGGTTGCTTTGTTATGTAAATATAACCCCAGTTAGCAAAGTCTGGGATGAACACGTCACTGGATGCACCAACAATGAACTGCTGCCTCAGCAGCAGACAAGCCTAAAAACAACTCTTCTATTCTGAGAATGAGCTGATGCCAACTTCTTCAGTGGGCAACAGCATCTGTGTGATAACGACCAGTACCCATTGGTTTGAATAAACTGCCAACCAGATGTTGAGCTGAGTGCTCTCACCTAAGCAAAGTACAAATCAAACATTACAGATTTGTGCTACTAAATTACAGACCTCTTGAGAGCTTGCCTGAATGTAAATCAATTGGATAATATGCCTGATGAGTGGTACTGAAACAGGAGCCTGTGAGGTTCATAAGAGTCTTGGTGCTGAAATCGCTGGCAGTTAACAGAGTGGGATTAAAGACATGGCAGTGCTACACAGTGGCATTGTCCTGGGCAGGAGAGAAGTAATGGTGTTGTTTCTGGCTTGGGGGGAGACATGAGGTCAGCAGGGAAAAATTCACTCACATGGACGTGGGACATCCAAGGAGGAAGTATGTGAAAGCACACGTGCGTGAGAGTGTGTGTGTCTGTGTGCTGTAAGAGAGAATGACTGAGAAAGAGAGTCGGGGGAGCAACAGTGACAAGAAATGAGAATTTAGGGAGGACCTTTAATCAAAATGCCAGCCAAGAGCAGTTCTGGCTCAAAGGAAAACCTTTTTAGTAGACAACTCACCGCCATCCAAACAAGGTCTTGGCAAATCTCAGAACAGGGTTTATTAAGAGGGACTGGGGAAGGGAACAGTGTGGCTCTCGTACACGCTGGCATTTCCCCTGATTACAATCACTTGTTTTTGTTTGTACAGTACAGTGCATGCATGTCAAACTTGAAAACACTGTACAAAAAGACGGAGGCTGGGGCGATTGTGGTCTTGGCACAAACACAGTAAGTTCGGGGTATTTATAAGGGGAGCTATTCTGCAGAAGGTTGCAGGGCACTGTATTGTATTTATGTTTATAAATGCAACATAGACATATACACAATATAAACTACACGCCATGGCAGCATAATATTGTTTCTATAGCAGATCTGCATGTCAGCATACCTGTCCACCACCAGCTGCAGCTGAGTCGAGCTCTTGATCTTGTTCTGCGCCTCCACGTTCAGCATGTCGGCCGTGTTTTCCCCATTGATCTCCAAGATAATGTCACCGGGCTGCAGGTCTGCTTGCTCTGCCTTGCTGCCCCTGTTGACCTGTTGAACAGAAAAACAGTTAGGTCCTACTGGCCCCAGGTCCTGCTCTGAATATATCGCTTTATGGATGCTATCCATCTGGCAGGCACAGACAGCTCTGTATCTCAAGGCCGTGTGGACCATTCATCAATAGCTGACATTCAGCATTAACAACTGAGTAAATGAGAAAAGGTGTTGAAGACTTGCTTCATTCTTTTGCCACGCTCTTAATGCAACTGTCTCTCTCTCTATAACTCACAACATTCATAGTAAATACCAACAGACGCCACAGCGTTTCACACACATGGAACGAGGCAGTGCCGGTCAACAGCGGACAGATTCATAACACCCTTGGGGAGAAGTCATTAGTGTGACAATACTTGATGGTTTGACTGGGCCTGACCTTTGCAACCAGCCTCACCGCATGTCAAAGCCAATGCTATACCACCACATCAGAGGGAATTCCACACTAATGGGCCCAAACACAACGTCCTAGCCACCGCTCCCAGCTCGGTTCCTGTGTCCCAGGCATACACACCCAAACAAACAGGCTTACTAAAACAAAGGGCAAAACGAGGAGGCTGACGCTGCAGCTGCTTAAACTTTAGAGAGTATGACACCGGCCACAAAAAGTGTTTGCCTCACAATTAAAAACAGTAAGGCAATAAAACAAAGAATGCAAAACAAAACAAATAAAGAGCCAATCAGAGTAGATGAAAGTCTCATTTTTACATCTCTGAAGGAAATATGGATGCAAACAGGGTGCCAGTCAACAGTTTGTCTGTCCATTTTTTGCCAAGCAAGAGGGCAGAGGTGCCATGTCTGTGGGCCCACTCGAGAGGCAATTAAGCGTTGCTGTGGTGACCCACAATAGTCCGTGCCTTTTCTGATCAGGACACGCCTGGTTTCACATAAACTAAGAGCAGTTGGGGGTTCTTTTTCCAGGGTTGGTGCCCAAGTGAAACGGGGCAAGTTATCTTTCAGGCCAACAGGAATAAAAGAGGGCATCCATGTCGCCTCTGTGCCAAGTGCAAACCACTTCAGATGGTCCAACCCTGTGGCTGCTGAACTGCGGGATAGGGGGAGGGATGGTGGTGGGGGGAGACAAGCCATTTCTCAAACTGGGCTTTGCAGTGATGAAGTTTCTCTCAGCTGGAATCCCTGTCACTTCAGAGAACTCGTTTGATATTTGAGACAAGCAAACACGCTGGTGTGTTGTTTACTGGATAGCAGTAACAAAATCAGACTTAAAGCCGACTTATTCATGAGAGGACATGTTTTTCTAGCATAAGATGTCAAGAGGGGGCAAGCCTTAAACACCTTTGAACTCAAAGTCTGTGTGAGGCACGGGTACCCTGCCATGGTTTCGCCATAATTTATCTTTTATGGTCTGGGGAGCTACTGGGAAAGTCTCGATGGAAAAAAACAGGCTGATGTGGTGATGTAGGACCAGAATGTGCAGTGGGCAGAAGTGGGTGTCTCTGGCATGCAGAGGGTTTCCTGGTGGTGTTTACTGTGTTCTGTCTGCTCACAGTGGTAACGTTTCCACTCCTTCTATCCCATCTTCCCTTTTTTTAACAGTGACTGGAAAAGTATAGTCAGTAAAAAATATCATGCACACGCTGAAGTATGAATATACTGATGCACGTGGTCGTGCACATGAGTTAGCACAGAAACATGAACCCACACTCACAGACTGTACTCTGCGACCAGGAACCCCTCACCTCCCACCTCAGCTTCCACTCTAACTGTAATCAGTGGTTTCCTTCTAATGTAATCTACTTCCATTCTATTCTAACGGTTTCAGTAGTCAAGGAAATAGGTACGAAGCAGCCCGCAGACACAAACAAAGACAAGAAAAGAGACGTAGTGAGGAGGAAGTTGACTTTGCATGACATGCCATTACAGGCTGTGTTTTGACAAAAACAGAGGATATGGTTTGATAAGGTGTGACTAGGTTCAGCAACAGGGCGGCTGTTGACCCGTACCTTTGATACAGTTATGGCTTTCTTGAAGTCCCGTCCTCCAAATATTCTGAAGCCCCATGGTGAAGGACCGATAAGGTTCACCGTCAGCGCCATTTAGTGATCGGATCAGCACACACTCTTGTCCAAACCCTGAAAAGGAAAATGAGAAGATGAGCATGAGATTGAGCGCGAGTAAAATGTGGGACATAAACATGTGCACGGCAGAATGTTCTAACATGCTTCTGCTGGCCAGGCTCAATATTAGACCAACAGGTGAAGACAGTGAACATTTGCATAAGCCGCCTTTCATCTCCAGCAACACTTCACTTCCACTGGCCTAAGTTGCCTTGACATGGATTGTGTAACCACATCAAATAGGAATTGGAGGAATCTGAAACCAAAGACACATGACTAACATTGCTAAAGTGCCTGCAAAGCCAAGGAGTTTCATTAAATCCAAATGCTCCATCAGGGCAGGGGAAACAAATGCAAACAAAAAGTCATGCAAGCGCAAGGGGAGTCTCATTGCGTCTCACTGTGACCATCGTGTTTAATGTATATGCATACAGTGGTGTAGTATGATACACGTCATGTAGCATGGTAGCCCTTTGAGACTTGTTTATAAGAATGGGCTGTAGTATATATATAAACTTGTCTCACAATTCAGTTGTTTTGTAAATCTGTAGTTCCACAGTGGGTATTTTATATTTGCATGGTTAGGGTTTGCACGCATATTTATAGATATTGCTTTCCACAAAGTCTGTTGTAAATTTGTGAATCTAAAACTGTAAATCTAGTGTTTAAAATCACATCATGTGACACGCCAATGTATAGTGAAACCATGTGAGGAGTTTTCATTGTTCTAATCTCTTGTGGACACATTTTTTCTGTAAAGCCATTATTGCAATATTGTAACATCATCCATGGGCCTTTTTGCTTTCCATATGGGACAAATCATTTCAGCTTAACAATATTCCAAGGTTGACAGTCAGCACTGACTATCATGTCATATACTAAGGCTCAAGATTCTGTTAAAATATGTAATTAATCTAATCTATAGTTATCTATCATACATTTAATCATCCACAAATCTACACCCATTTTCAAAATTCACACGTTATTCTTAAGGTCTAAGACAGTTCACAAATATCAGTAAAACTCAAATTTGTGATGTCAGGGGGTATAAAGTCTGGAGTTGCTCTACAGACAATGAATTAGGAAAGATGTTACTGAGGAATGTTTTGAGTATATGGGTACATTTACTGTTTCAGAACTGAGAACATTATAATAAAATAAAGCTCATCTGGGTATAAAAAAAAGTAGATCCAAAAATCTCACCCCCATCCACTGTCTATAAAGCATATTGACTGACCTTTCTTAGGCCATGGAAATAATATATTGGAATTCCTAATTTAGCTGATGTTCCCCTTTAATCTACACAGCTACATGACAAGATAGATAGATTCCTACAGATCTAGATCTTTAATTACTTGAACCACTGGATTGAGCTTTCGAAATATTACACATTGCAAAATCATAATTGGTAATGACAGTGTGTTGTGCGCTACTGTTGGTGGCATTTTCACAGAGGTCAGTAAAAGCTTCTGCAAGAGCTCATCAGTGAAAACGAGGATCCATATCAGTAAATACTGCGTGATAAAAGCGAGGATCTCTCTGTTGACTTGGCAAAGATTATTGGCAGTGCAGCTTCACTGTTCCTGACTCTAACTACTCTATGACAAAATACCTGCATGTGTTTGGGCATTCCTACGAACAAGTCACTCCTTCAGTTATCAGCATGAACATTGTTGAAAGGAACGGCAGGACAAGAATGATAAGGTCCCTATAAGCAAGGCGCTAAAGGATAATCAGATGGGTTACAAACAAGACACTGATGTTGTATACACACTATTCTCCATCACTGTCATTGAACATTCAAACTAAGATAATAAACTAAATTCACTGTTACCATTTACACTATCTTCTAAAATATCAGTGGGCTGAAACTGGAGCAGAATAGGCTTTGCAGCATTGAAATGTTTGTGCTGATGATGCTTTTAAACTTGAGCATAACCTGTGATTTAAATGCCAGTTTACTCAGACTCTGCTCACAGGTGTAGATGAAGCTTGTCTGTTGTGTGACTGCATGTGGAGACACAAGACCTCTGTGGTGTACAGTGATGATGGGATAAACACAGGTTCATAAACACATCGACACCTGCACAATGTCACACACACACACACACACACACACACACACACACACACACACACACACACACACACAGAGCTGCTGTGGCTGCGACTGAAACTGAAAAAATGCGGATTTATTTTAGACATTAGTGCAACACGTAATATATAGGTGCACACGTAGACAATGACATAAGCTATTTTAAGTATAGAGTGCTTCTCTCAAAAAAATGCCTACACCAAAACCATTTTAAATCATCTATTGCTGAGCTCACAAGACAAAGCGTGGTCTGGCATCAACTTCTTAACGTAAATGCAGAACTTACACCTAATAGTTGACTGTTGCTTTCTATAGAGACACAATGCCATGCTGGATTTGTTTTCCAGATCATTAAAAAGGTTATATGAGTTTTTGAACATTAATATAAAGAACGAACCACCATTTGCTGTACAAATATAGTGGAGTAATGGTGTCCTGAGCAGAGGATGAAGTCAGGCTGCCTCTGTGTGTTATCTGAGCTTCTCTGCTCTTTGTTTTGGTAGACGTTCTGGCAGCACATGCATGTGACTTCATTTGCGTATAGTATACCATTGGCTCACCAATTGCCGCCGCTCTGCACTGTACTCATAGGGCAGTTACCACTGATAACACCACCATGAATTGGGACAACATTGTCGTGGAAATGCTTCGGTGCCCCCTCACATTAACACTGTTAGCTCTGTCAGCATTTTTAGCACTGTTAGTGTGGCTAGCACTGCTAGCCACCGCCATTTTGGCTCAGCCATCTCCATGTTTGCTTGTGACAAAGTGAAAGCCACGTGCAGACAACCCCGGCCCAGTATTCTCTGAATGTCTTATATAGCAACTTTAGGATAAGCTACACTTCAATCTGGATTTTCGGAAATATATTTATCATTGTCAGAGGTGGACAGAGTACACAATTTCACTACTTGAGTAAAAGTACAGATACTCCTTGTCAAATATTACTCCAATACAAGTAAAAGTAGCCTAGTCAAAATATTACTTAAGATAAAGTACTAAAGTATTTGCTTAAAAAAATACTTAAAGTAAAAGTACTTTAAAAAAAATCTCAGGAAATACAGGAAAGGAAAGTAGCTTTATTGTCATTCTGATGCGATTCTGCTACAGAAATGTTTATAGCTCAAAAATAAACAAATAAAGGCAAGAAGCCTCAGAACACAAACTCAGCTGCATTCATCAACAAATGAAATTGCTTGCCAAGAAAACAAATTTCACCCCCCAACTGTATTTTTCTCACAAAAACCCACATTTCCTTTTCTTGTAGTTACATTTGAACATCATGAAGGATACATTGCAAAAACTCAAAATCTTACCAAGAATATTTGTCTTATTTCTAGTCAAAATGTCTCATTTGTAGTCAAAACAAATCTCATTACACTTAAAGTAAGACACATGACCTAAAAAGTGACTTGTTTTTAGACAATTTATTTGTTTCAAGCAAATTTTCACTTGAAACAAGCAGAAAAATCTGCCAGTGGAGCAAGATTTTTTTGCTTGTAATAAGAAAAAAAAAACTTTTTCTGTGGTATCAGAATTTAGCAAAAAAAAAAAAAATTTAAAAAAAAGAAAAAAAAAAAAGAAAATTCATCAGCTGACGGAAGAGCAAAAGTAGCGAGTAACGAGAACATCAATAGAAATGTAGTGGAGTAAAAAGTATAATATTTGTCCTTCAAATGTAGTGAAGTAAAAGCAAAAGTTTCCCCCCAAAATAATACTCAAGTAAGGTACAGATACTCAAAAAATGTACTTAAGTACAGTACTCAAGTAAATTTACTTCGTTACTGTCCACCACTGATCATTATCACCATAGTCACTGCCATTATCTTAACATTTCCACACATTCTACAGTTAACAGGAAAGCCGTCAGACAGTTGCATAAAAACATTTAGCAGATTAGATAGTGTCCAGTAATTACAGACTCACCATGATTTTGCACCTCTGAATACACACTGTAACTCTATCAGTTAACCATGTTTTAATATCTGACGATATCAACACAAATGTTTACTGTCATTGAAAGTTCAGGTTGACCCAAAGTGCTGCATATCAGATAGTACAGACAAAAATGCATGTTGTTGCTGACACTGATGTGTAAATCTTACTCAATGCCTTTAAATAAAGTAATAAGTCTGTCAATGATTACAAATTGCATAATAGAGTTAACAAAGCTCTTAAATATGAGGAGCAACACTTCTGGAAATCACAGACCCAACCCAAGTAAAATGAATATAGGACATCAGCCACGCTACTCCCCTAAACCCCTCCAAACACTGGCCCATTTCATCCGCTGCACATTCCACAAGTGTTTGGGACACGCAGTGCAGGCCCAGTAAATCATTAACAGTCTGGGCCAATTAGCAGGGTTACTGGGCTCACCATCATTAGGGTCTCTTAATTGCTGTGGCCTCAAGAAATAAGTGTAGTTGTGATAATGACAGGGAGCAGCCGCCCCAAAGTTTCCCAGCCTCTGGGGTTCTCAATTAGTTCCATGAGCTTCTGCAGCTTGTACTATAGAGCGGCCATTATCAAACGAGCACCCTGCTAATTCCCTGCGTAAACGTTCACTGTTAGCATCATAAAAGCGCTGGTGGTGGATAACGTCAAAGTGAAAGGATGGTGAAAGTATGCGGCAGAGCGGACAAACAGCGCAGAAGAAAAACAACACAGTGGTGGTGAGGATAAGTGGCACACTCATGAGCTGTGCCTAATTGACCAATGATGAGGTTTTAAGACTGCACTGCACTGGAGCTGCTCGCATAAAACAAAGTGCTGAACACAGTTTGATGAAACCTCGCCATCACACAAAAGTGCTGTTGGGCAGCTGCCAAGACACATAAAAGGTGAATTCTGTTCTGGTGACATCTCGCTGCTTTAGCTGCCGTGCCAGTCTGGCAGCACAATTCAACACACCCAACAC